GATGTGGTGGAGCCATTGGGTGGGGATGCTGGAGAGTGGAGAGTGAGCCGGCGGATGTAGGGAGGATGGGGGAGGTGGCCAGATGTAAGGGGGGAAAGGAAAAGATAAGCCACGAGTCTCGGACTCTTCCAAATTCTAACGGGTATTGCAATCACCCTCACCAAGGGTTTTCTTTCTTCTCTCAAAACTCACAACATTGGAGAAGACAAAAGCTGAAAATTTTATTCATCAAATCATCATCGTAATACAATAGATGGGTCCTTATATGTAGGCCTCAACATGACAAAAGAAAAAGGACTAAAATGCCCTCAGGGCTACAACAACAAACTAACACCCAAAGGGATAAAATAGGAAAAACTGAAATATAAAAATAAACAATACATAAAATGCATCAAAAATAAAGGCTCCTGATCGTGGCCCCCGTCGATATCCAATGCCTCCTCTGATAAACACGCCAAAATCTCCTGTGGATGTCCTCATCAATATGATCTATTAAATTTAAAAAAAAATCATATTAATAGGGCACCACTTAAAATTCTCAAAACTCACAACATGGTTTTCTTTCTTCTCTCAAAACTCACAACATTGGAGAAGACAAAAGCTGAAAATTTTATTCATCAAATCATCATCGTAATACAATAGATGGGTCCTTATATGTAGGCCTCAACATGACAAAAGAAAAAGGACTAAAATACCATCAGGGCTACAACAACAAACTAACACCCAAAGGGACAAAATAGGAAAAACTAAAATATAAAAATAAACAATACATAAAATGCATCAAAAATAAAGGCTCCTGATCGTGGCCCCCGTCGATCTCTGATGCCTCCTCTGATAAACACGCCAAAATATCATGTGGATGTGATGTGAAACTAAATGCGGTGACAAGAATTGCAAATAAGAGATTAATAAAGGTTATGAACTTTGCGTACTACCCATAAAAACTAGTTTACCCAAGTAGAGGTTTTAGAAAATAGCATGAAAGATAAAGCAATAGCAATAGATCACAATTGAGATTACGGGAACTTGCAAAATTAATAACCAAGAATTTAGATAATGCAAATAGCCAACTATAATAAAGCCTCACATTTAAAATCTAGATCCTTCACCTCGAGGTCCTTTAACCAACTCTTGAAGTTGGAGGCTAGCAGAAGAGGATCGTAAGCACACCTAGAGATACCATAAGTTATGCCGAGAGGACTAGTCGCCGAGAAAGAAGCGGGTGGCCGTTCAAGAAGAATCCACGAAGTTCTTAGTCATTGAAGGTCGATGGTTCCGACAAGGCAATAAACGATACGATTGACGTATCGTTCTACGGTGATGTCGTACTCCCAATCCGGATCGTAGAAGGGAGAGAGGAAGATATCGATCTCTCCTTGTTCGTTGTAAGCGAAGCCGTGATCAACTTCGGGATCCGCCATGCATCCTCGCCGGGAGTTGAGGGAGCACCAAAAAGAAAGAAGAGGGAGAGAGGAGGTGGCGGCTTGGAGGGGAAAAGGGTTGGCCGGCTTGAGGTCTTGAAGGGGATCGGCTAGGGTGGGAGGCTAAGAGGTAAGTGCAGGAAATCTGAAATAAATTCAAATTTTAGTAGTTTGGGGGAGGGATTTAATTTGAAATTCAAATTAATCCAAGGGGGGAAAGAGGGGCGACAATGGGGAGGAGTTTGGGGCTGAATTTGTGGAGCAATTAATGTAATTTTGGAAGAGGGGAAAGCCCATTAAGGGGCCGGCCACATGTAGAGGAGAGAGGGGCTTGAGTATTAATTAAATGGGGCCCACAAATTTAAACACAGATTTAATAAAAATCTGAATTGAAATTTCAGATTTCTTATGTGGGGAAAGTTTCCTAATATAAGGACAATCAATTGGATTAATTTGAATTTCAAATTTGAATTGAAATTCAATTAAGAAGATTGCCTAAAATCAAGGAGTTATTTAGGAAAGTCATTTATGTCTCTTGGGAAAATTTGAAATTTCAAATTTGAAATCCCAATGGGGGAGGCTGGCAGCTAGAGGGGTGGATGGGGCCAAGGGGGAGGGGAGGAAGGCCGGCGATTGGTGGCTGACAGGGAGCTGGTGGCTTGGGTGGCCCAAAGGGGCGGCGACAAGGCTTATGGGGAGGGGGATTCACTTGAAGGGAAAGAAAAGATGAGAATTGCGAAGAACTAAGGATCCACTCACCTCAAATGCTTCCACCCCAAATCTCACAAAGAAATCTTGGGAAAAAAAACTAAGAACTCATAAAGAGATCTTTCTCCTCCAAGGAACTCACTAAGAGATCACCAAGTGGAAATAACTTTTCATTCAATAATTCATCAACTACCCATACATTGCATGAGGCCTCTTATAAATAGGCCAAAATAAAATAAAATTGAAATGACACAAATGCCCTCAGGGTTACATAAGTGACTCAATGCCCACAGGGACAATCTAGGAAAATAGAAATATAACTATAATTAAAATACATAGAAATCAGTAGTAGAGGCTCTGAATCGTAGCCGTCGATCTGCGTCTCCTGCGACGGTACACTTGTCGAAATCTGATGTCCTCATCAATATGATCTATTAAATTAAAAAAAAATGATATTAATAGGGCACTACTTAAAATTCTCAAAACGCAATTACACTTATTTTCAATTAAAAAAAAAAAGATCCAAGTATATTAAAAGAAGAGAGAGAACTCAAAAAAAGATGAGAAGCAAGAAGGATTAAAAAAAATATCAAAATTTCTTAGCTTTAAAGTTCTTTTAATGCCCCTTTTATGAATTCAGCTTGAAATTTGGGCTCAGCAATACTTCTGATTCATTGAGATGTTTCTTCTTGCTCGCAAAAATGAACCTTTTTTAAATTTCACTCCTCTTCTTCCATTTACCTTATGTTTGGTAAGCACTTCTGACTTCAAGCCATAATGATTTTCTTGCCAAACCTTCACGCAGGCTGCCCTTTGTATGCATACACTGATGCAAACCCATTGCAATCATAGGAGGTTCAAAATTAAACTCTAATCTATCCAAAATAGTTAATCATCCTAACAAAATTTTAAAACAATTATTTTGCGAAAATAAATAATTTATTATAATCCTAACAAACCTCCTATTTTAGATCTTGGCTATTCCTAACTTAATGAGTGAAAAACTAACAAATTTTCCCCAATTCCATCTTCTTTGTGACCTCCTCTCAAAATCGAATACTCTGAGCTCTCAAACCCCGAATGGTTGCCTGCCATGCAACCTCAATAAACCTAAATGATATTTGAACTTCACATGCACAAGAAAGAGACCTCCAAAATAATGTTGTGCACTAAAGTGGATCTACTAAAGCTGAAAGTGCACTGCCACTGAATTTTTGCCCCAATGTGTGTAATTTCTTGCTCTATATGTTGTAATGATACGGCTCAACATTGGAACATAATGTGCAATACAAAATCATTGTACTTGATCTTATTCAAAAGTTTCCTCTAAACATACGCTTCCTTTTATTAGGAAACTTTATTGCAGCCAAGAATTTAGTTTTTTTTTTTTGGTCGATTCATGGTGCTCCACCCAGGGGCGGAACCAACCTTAATTCTCAAGGGGGCAAACTTATAAGTAAAAGTGTAGAGATTTTGCAGACATGTCGTGGGTCCAAGGGGGCAGCGCCCCGATTCGATCTTCTAATAAATACTAAAAACCTGCTCGAATTACCTTAAAAAATTGCTTTTAGAAGCAATAAAAAAACTATCCCAAACGAAACCTTAGAATCAATCAAATTCCATTCATTCAAACTCGCATAATCAATAATTTTCTGAAGTTCAGATACTGCCATTTTTCACCTCTCTTAGATTATAAATATTTTGTGAACTCACTGTGTTATCTCTTCAGTGCAAGAGGTTGGTTCTTGAGTATGGCCCGGTCATCATTTTCAACGCAGAGAAATTTTTTGAGAAAACAGACGTTTGTACTGCAATCCATGCATGCAAAGCTCAACAAATTGCTGCTATTGAACAACAATTTCTTCCTGTTGCTGCTGCTGCTGTTTGAACCGAAAATGCCTGAATCAGAAGAGAAGCTCTTCAGACTTGCAAAGTAGTAAGAGAACTGAGTAGTAATTGGTGTTTCTATTAAATTCTGTCAAGATTACTATATGCTTTTATTAATGTTTGGCATTGTAGCTTTTACCACCGTATATTTATTGTGTTGCATTCCTAAAGGTGAAGATGATTAGGTAGTATTATGATTTATAATTATGCAATAAGTCGGTTCGAAGTAAGGCTCCGTTTGCGATAGCTTTTTTATTACTTTTTAAAGCGGTTTTCTAGCACAAAAGTTTCTTTAAATTTGAATGATACATAACTCATTTATTTATGTTCGCAACTTATTTTTTGTGTTGCTTAATAAGTAATTTATTAAAAACCTTAATATTAAGTTAAATGATTGCGCGTATATTATTTAATTCAAATTTGATCGAATGCAACTTATTTATCAGTAACATATTATATATTTCTGTATTAGTTTTTGATATTTTTCCAATTTTATTATTTTACTTTTGCAACTCTTATCTCTTGCTAAGCTAATAATGTTGCCTTGTTAGCTCATCATGGACTATGTCTTCGCCCTTTCTCCCAAAATTTTCCTCTCTCAATTGACTCATATATCGCTCAACCAATCTCCCTCTTTTTGGTCATCTCTTGCTCACCATGCCTCTCTACCCTTCTCTCTTAAGATGAAAGAAATATACCCTAATATGTGATATTCTAAGATGTCTCCATAAGGATGGGAAACAAATATGATAATTCATCATAGTAAAATTTATTTAATCGGCGGTCTTCTGGTAACCCGATTAGGAGAGTAGATGTATCAGATTTAATTTATGTTAAGAAATGTAGAGGTAGACCTAAAAATATTTGGTTAAAAAAATATTCGAAATGACCTTTCTTTATTAGATTTAAATGAGAATTTAACTCTTAGTAGGATACAATGGAGAAACAAGATTCATGTAAAGTTGGGATAAATACTTGATGTTGTTGTTGTTATGTCAAGTAGTTGGAATTTCAAATTTAATACCTAAATATGCCGGCTTGACTCGGCTTGATTATAACCCTATGATTGATCATCATTACAGTCGATACTTACAATTCTATCTGAGGCTTTTTATTTTATTACAATAACTATTAAGGTTTCGTTTGAGATTGCTTTCTTATTGTTTCTTAAAGCAACTTTTCAGTATAAAAATATTGTACTCAGAAGTTGTTTTAAGAAGCAGTAAAAAAAATCGTCATAAATAAATCCTAAATTTTTATTTCACTATGTGGGGATTTTTTGTTTTATTAAGAAAACAAAAACATGAATTCCATTCTAAGACAGCCAGCCACAAAAACTTAATAACGGTAGGTAAGCCTCACCCTCACGTGAGGGCACCACCTCAACATGTGGCCCAAGAATAGAGCTAGGCAAACCTCACGTGACCACAGCTCATTAAGACCAACATAGGGATAGCCCATGAAACAGCGACTTCAGGCCAAACGATGGAAACTAAGAAAATAAGATTATTTTATAATAAATATCTTTGATTTTAGGTATCATATATTTATTATCTTTTAAGATAATTAAATCATTAAAGAATTTTTTTAAGAGATTAAATATAAAAATTCATAAAATGAATATATCAGAATAATATAATTCAATTTTTTAAAAAATATTAAATGTATTTGTAACATGAATATAATACACAACTAAGCAATTAATTTTCTTATTATACTAATCTAAAAAAAAATTTAAACTTAAAATTAATTATAATTCAATTTTTTTCTTGATAGATGCATTTAGAATGGATGATTTTCATTTTTTTAAATTTTAATGATGTGCTGTGGTTGCTTCTTCCTTTGTATTTTTCTAATGGTGCTTTGATTTTTTGTGTAACAGTGATATATTGAATGGTCTCAGCCTTTCCAAATGTATTTATGAATATTTTTTTATTTGTGGATATGTTGGCTTCATTTTTTTTTTCATTTTTGAATATTTTTGCCACTTGGTTTTTATTCATTGCCTTGGTTTTTATAAGGAAAAATTATACATGTCTTATTTGCATGATTTTCTACTCTCCTTTGGAACACAAATTTTATTTTTGAATGATTTAGAATAGATATTTTAGCCCCTAATTGACTAGAGATTTTTTTTATTAGGCTACTGATTGTGTTGTTTAGATTTTATTTGGGACTACTTAAAGCATTTTTTGGTACACAAATTTTCTTTTTTCTACTAAAAAATTGTACTAAGAAGCAGTAAGAAAATCGTTCCAAACAAACTTAATGTAATTTTTAACTAAAGTTTCATTATATATATATATATAATATATATATATATATATATATATATATATTATTATAATAATATATTATTATATATATTATTATATATATTTTTTATTTATTTCTCTTCTTGTTTTGTTGGGTTCTGTTTATTTATACTGTTT